AATCTCCAGAATACAGAAAGAACTCCAGAAAAACAAAAATAACAAAATAAACAAACCAGTCAAGAAACAGGCATGGGAAATGGGCAGACATTTTACAAAGGAACAAATCTAAATGGCTAACAGGAATAGAAAAAATGCTCAAGCTCCCTGGTAATAAGGGAAATCCAAATAAAAACATCACTGAGATGCCACCTAACTCTAGTAAGAATGGCTCATACAGAGAAAACCACCACCCACACCTGCTGGTGAGGATGTGGGGAAAAGGAAACCCTACTCCACTGCTGGTGGGATTGCAGGCTGGTGTAGCTCTAAGGAAATCAGTATGGGGAATACTCAGACAACTGGAAATTCACCTACCATATGACCCAGCAATACACTTCTACACTTTTAGACATATATCCAAAAGATCTGTTGCACAAGAAAGTAACATGCACCACTATGTTCATACCAGTACAATCAATAATCAAACAAACATGGCAGCAACCAAAATGCCCATCAAACAGAAGACTGGGTAAGGAAACAATGGCTCATGTGCTCCATGGAATACTACTCAGATGTGTAAAAAAACAAAAATGAAATACATTTCTTCATGTCCAAATGGGCCCAACTGGAAACTATTATGCTAAGGGAAATGTACCAATCCCAAAATGTCAGATAACATATGTTTGCCTTGATGTAAGATAATACAATGTCAAATCTAACAAAAAACTCATATCTTTAAATTGTATCTTATTACATTTCCTAGCTGTCTCTACTACACACAATAAGATCTTGGGATGTAACCAAACCTATTAACCAATAACTCATGACCGACTGATTGCATGTGATCCCCTGATATTGCTAATAGCCCTCTAATCACGGGTGTTACTACTACCCATGGGTAACTATGATTTAGTCTATACTGTACACCCATTTGAACCACACAGGTCATACGTTAAGCATTAATTTCTGCAGGAAGATATTGGACTCTCTTATGCTTCACCCTAGTATCACATTGATACCCCTGCTATGAGTTTGACAACACCACGGAGATAAAGAGTCACTATTTCATTTAATTTAAATTCTTTTTTCTATCTTTTCTCTCTCTCAACCCAAGGGGGGGGCTGTTCCTAATGGGAGGTAGAAGTAAAAATGAATATATCCATAGGCAGAAACAGAAAGCATATCCCCATACTTAAAATACAAGAATGGTCTCAGAGTGAAACAACAGATAAGCCCCTACACGGATGGGAGACACCTCAATGGCAGCATGATGGACTTCTGAGGGTAGCTGGAAGACACCTATTGAAAGACTGGAGCGGAGGAGCAAAATGCAGATGGGTAACGGGGAGGCAGAGCACCAATTCCTATTAAACTGTATCATAAAATAAAGATAATCTTGTAAATAAATAAAAAATAAAATTCATCAAAAATACAGATCATTTGGGTTTTTCCTACAAACTACAAACTTCTTGCATACTTCAGATACAACTCCTGTGTATTAATGTCCCTTCCTGATGTTCTGAATATGCAGTCATCTTTTAGTGGTTCCTTTATCTCATACACTGTCTAATAGGTAATACGTGCTTTGCAGAAATAAATAACAGTTGATATATAGATTATCTATCATAATACACATTCTCAAACAAGTAGTAATACGTGGATCAAAACTGCACACACATTAACATATTTGAAGACCCTCTATATAGTAGTACACCTTAATTTAATAGAAATCTTTGAAAGCATCGAGCAGCTCCACGATGCACGCACACATGCATGCATCAGCCTAAAGGTTCATCCCATAGCAAAAGTGCTGTGAGGATTGTGCTCTCCTTTCTTTGCCAGCTTCTGCACTACAGCTCGCAGTGAATGAACTCCTCGGTGAACATCATGCTACTCAATGCACAGAAATGTTCCTAAGTGTTTTTGCACTAACTGGGTTGCTTTTTCCTGTGACACTTCAACACTGGTACGACCCAAGCTTGAGAATATTAATCTGAAATCTGCTTGTAGAAGGAGTTCATTGAAGAAGATTATTTCTCATCCAATTAGGAAAGAATTTGTTCCAGATTCACTTTTCACTTTCCCATTTCCATGTTCACTTTCACTTGTGTCTTTTTCAATAAGTGTCTGTGATTCATTAATAGATCATTCGTATGAGACATTTTGACTGTCTGTAAGCACCCGAGTTTGTAAATGTCCCTTGCAACACTTCTTCAAATATCTCATAGGCCTGATATTCATTACTGAATGAATATCAACATATGTATTCAAAAAATGATATCATTATTGTCATTTCTTGAGCAACAAATGTGACATGCAATAGCATAAATTGCTTTAAAAAAGTTATTTTTATTCCTTTTCATCACTTCAGGGATGCATCCATCATTCTGTAGCATGTTGCTGTAATTTTTCTTTTTCTTGCTGTTGTGGGTTATTTTCTGGCTCCATATTTAAGGAGATATAAAAAAGAAGGGGAGCAGAGATTAACATGTTCAGATGTGGAGACATAGTGCAGTATGCATCTCACATCCACACCAAAGATGGACTCCCAGGGAAACTGCTCAATATATCCTGACAGTAGGATGCTGGACGTTTTGTCAATGTCCAGGCCTACAATGTCAGGAAACACTTCAATAAGAGAAGGATGTGCATCACTGTGCATGGAAGACCACCCATTGTAACAGTACAGGGGAAATCAGAAGGGTGAGAGAGGAATCATGGAGGGGGATGGGAAACCCAGAGCCTATTGAACTCTATCATAATAATAATGATGATGATAATAATAAAAGCAACAAATATTAAGAAGAAGCAATGTCACAGTGTAGCTTTAATGCTATAAATTTAATCTGGAGTCAGAATGCTTAAGATCTACATCAAAGAACTGTAAAACCTAAAACACTCTTATACCTTATGTTACTCCATCATGGGGAGGGAATGCAGAGAAATCCTCCATCTCCCTAATAAGTGAGTGGAAGACGTGAAACATAGCCTATCAGGATCAAATCTGATAACCCATAGACAACAGACTCGAGTCGGCACAGACAAGAGTAAAGTTACACAGACCTCAGGGGGGGATCGGGAGCGACCCTGTAAGCCTCTTAATGCATATGGAGCAGGGGGGAGACCCCAGAGTGGAGTGGGAGGTCAGGAGGAGGCTTGTATCCCAACCCTGAAGACTCACAGATCCTCACCAAGGACCATCAATATGGACACCAAGGGCTACATCCCAGCCGCTAAGGAGACCACGGGGAATAAGAGTGCCTTCGGAGGCCGAGAACTCTGAGGTCACCCACCCCCATCTGGAGCCTCCACAGGGGATGGAAGAAGTCCAAACTCTGCAGCGCAGAAACCAGCGCCATCGGAACGACGGCCAGGAGCCCTGAGCTATCTGCAGAAACAGAAAAATAATAAACTTTCTCTGGGAATAAGGAGGCTAGCTTTCTCTGGTCCTGGCCTGGCTCTGGCCCTGGGTCCCCACCCTCCCTCGCGGTGACCATTAGGATCGCTCCAGTAACCCCTCAAAACAGACAAACAAATATACATACAAACAAAAAATCTAGAATGGACAGACAACAACATGGAAAGCTTAGAATCAGACAGGAAACGCCCAGCGTGGACCCAAACAGGTCTCACTAGGTAGGACACAATGATTAGTAACGCCTCACTGGGGTATTGGGGATTTCTCTGCACACCCAATCAAAATTTAAAAAAAAAATGTATTGTACCTAAATTGATAACTGTATGGGAACAGGGTGAATACAAGCCAAAATTGAAATGTCTATGAAGAAGTCACAGGATGTAGTTAAGAAACCGCATCTTCCTATTAACATACTGTTAATCAATGTCATGTCAATTGATGCCATGAGGTTGTAAATGTCTGTTGAGGTCATGTCGGAGCCTTTAATTGTTTGGGATGATGCTTAGCTGGATTTACCTTCAGACCAGAGATGGTCTCACCAAGAAATCGTTGAACACACTAGGATAATAAGTCACTGGATTCTATGCTTCGTAAATATTTCCAATGAAAGAACCACAACTGAATTTGAACTGTGGTAATGCAACAAGGTGGAGAAATCCACCATGGGGAGAGGGATCAGGGAGGGATGGGGGGAATCCCAGTGCCCATAATACTGTGTCACATAATGCAATATAATTAATAAGATTTAAAACAAAAATAAATAAAAACTTAAAAAATTTAATCTGTAAACGAAAACATAAACTGAAATTGACTTTCATTCCAGTGGTAATTAAGAATATATTCTACTTGATTGCATGCATATTGGATTATAGAGCTCAAGTGGAAATAAGATATTTATTTGTTAGACAATCAGCTACTTGTGTGTGAGGCTAACAGAAGAACTATTGAATGAAAAGAAAAAATTCCAAGAGAAAATGATTAAGTAAGAAACCATTAAAGGGCCAGCGGGCTGCCTGAATTGGCTAGTACTTCCTGTTCAAGCACTAGGACACTGTATGGGCATTGGTTCATGTCCTGGCTGCAACACTTCCCATCCAGCTCCCTGAATGTGGCCTGGGAAAGAAGTAGAGGCTGGCCTAGAGCCTTGGGACTCTACCAGAACTGAGACCAAATAAGGACTCTTAGGACTCCTGTCTTTAGATCAGATCAGCCCCCGACTGTTGAGGCACCTTGGGGAGTGAACCAGCAGATGGATGTTCTTTCTCTTTGGCTCTCTGGCTCTACGTAAATTGGTCTTTTCAATTAAAACAAACAAATCTTTCAAACGAAAATAATCAAATATGTGTGTCAGAGAAAAGAGAAATACACCATCTGTGAAAATGGAAGGGAAATAACAGCAGCATGAAGAATTTAATGCTGATAATCAATGGACTTGAAAATGGTTTAATATAAAATGAATGTCAGAAGAGGAACAAAGCATGCAATATCCAATCACCTATGGAAACAAATTTCGTGACCCAAACAGGAAGGAAAGAAACTTTGAAGCAGAAAATCATTTTGAAACATTTAATTTGAAAAGTTTTGTTTATTGATGAGGCAGACAGACATGGAGCTCTCATCCACAGTACAGTGCCCAGACATTCACAAAGGCAACAGCTCAGGGAGTGGACGTAGAAATCAACCCAGGTTTTCCTACGTAAGTGACAGGAATCCAACCAGCTGAACCATCTTCTGCTGCCCCTCCGTGAGGGCATTAGCAGGAAGATGGAATCAGGAACGGATCCCAGGGACTCTAACATGGAACGCAGGTATCCATCCCATGAGGCCTTCTCCACTAGGCGACATTCCTGCTCCTGGTTCAGCTCGGTGTAAAAAGCTGTGCTTTCAGAAAGTGTGATGCTCAGCACCGGGAGGCCCACACCCCGTATCATAGCATCCCCAACTCTGTGTTTTCAACTCAGCTTCTAACTAATGTACATCAGAGGCAGCACCTGACAGACCAAGCATTTGGGCTCCTGACACACATGTGGGAGACAGGATTGCATTACTGCCTCCTAGTTTCCACCTGGCTCAGCCCTGGCTTTAGCAAATCCTCAGGGAATGAACAAGAGATTAGACACTCTTTCTCTCCCTGTGTGTCGCCATTTGCCTATGTCACTCTGCCTCTCTTATACTTACGTAGACAAAACTTGGGGGAAAAAAGGAACTGCAGCACTAGGTTATAAGATATAAATCTGTAAGATCAATGTAAATTCCTAATCAAGAGTAAGGTAGGATAAACAAAGACTTTCAAAACTGAGAATTGGATTAAAAGAAATTCTGAGTAAAGTAGAATAAATCCGATATGTTAATATCTTCTTGGAATTTTTTCACAACGAGGGTATTCGAATTGGCCATCCATGCACTTTACTCGAAAGGATTCTGGACGGGTGGTTTCACGATATCCATATAAACACTGAAATTCAACGAAGTCTCCTGGTTCAGCATAAAGCTTTCTGTTTCTAAACCACCTCACCATTATGTTATATTTTCTCATGGTTTCCTCTGAGATAACACATGCACCTGAAAGTAGAAAAAATAAACAGAAAAATTATACAGCACAGAAATATTCTCAAAGTCTTTGCAGAGTACAAGCTGAATGTAAAAGAATGTCTTAGGAAGCCTTTGTTATAATTATTTACAAATAGAGTCTGCCAAATGCTATAGCAAATAAATAAATCTCTAAAAATTGCAAGGAATGTTAAAACATGCTGTTTAATAAGAGATATAATATTCACATCAAAGATTCATATCAATGATATATATTAAGAGCTCTACATTTTAAAACTTATTAGAGCTGGCTTTGCTTGATAACGATGTTGCGCAAAGAGTACAAATTAAGATGAACACAATGTCATTAGCTAGCATACAACATGGTGCTGTTAGTTGGTAATAATGCATTGATTCCTTGGAATTTGATGGGAGAGGACATGTTTAGACCTAGCACTAATCCTGCTGCCCCCTACACACTGCTCATGGAATGTCCATGAGGTCACAATGGTAACGGTGGGTGGTGAGGAATGTGTGAATCGGATTGTTGTGAAGCACTGCACTACATTACATCAAATCATCAGTGTGTACACTGCAAATACATGACACTTTTATTTATCTGCTTTATATTCTAAAACAAATATAAAAATTAGAAAGTCTTCCACTGCAGCAAAATGAGGAAAATCTGTCGGGGGTGGAGTTTGGGGGTAAATTTCAGTTTATACAAACTTGTACTACATAATTAAAAAATTCAAAGTATAAATAAATAAATATATATGTGTATATATATAAAAATTGGAAAGTTTTCTCAGCTTCATCTCTTCACATATAAATACTTGGTGTCAAGGACTCAGCATAATTGTTTTCATTAATCTGTAGACATTCTATTACAACCAGCATGATTTTATGTTCATTTCACCAATATTCCCAGAACTCATGAGAATGTTAAAGCACTCACCTAAGCATCTAGGTGGTTTCCCCCAGTTCCCATTTCTGCACATTATTTTCTTTTCCCCCTCAAGCTTATACATGTCCTGGCATTGATACTCCACCGATGAACCTGAAGGATACTCTTGTGATGCAAATGAAGTAGTGTCTCCATTTTCAATTGGGGGAGGAGGCCCACACTTTCCTGTAGATTCTATAAAAGATATGAATGATTGAGTCATCAAGTCAAACTACTGGTTACTTTAAAATAAAGCAAAGAAAATGCAGCATGACATCTGATGTCAAGAATCTTGGAATTTTGTGATGAAGAAAATGTTTTACAAAAGAATTTCATCACATACACTAAGTTACATTTGTCAGCTGATTTTATGGTTTATTGTATTTACTTGATAGGCAGGGTAACAGGAAAGGAAGGAAGGATGGATGGAGGAAAACAGAGAAGGAGGGAGAGACTAGGAGAGATACCAAGGGTGCGGGAGAAAGAACGAGAGTGACGGGTAGAGTGTCTGGTAAACAATTCCATCTGGCTAGGGACTGTAGGACTCAGGGACAACACAGCAGTGTGCCCTTTGTGTTGAACCCTGGGTACTGGGATGTCGTGGCAGAATGCCTGGGTTCATCTCCTGGCTTCGCTCCCAATTCTTGATTCCTGCTAATATTCAGCCTGGAATCAGCAGCTTGAGGGCTCAAACAGGTTCATCCCTGACACCCATTCAGGAGATCTGGATGGAGTGTCAGACACCTGGTGTGGAAGTGTTAGTGGTTCTAAATGGAAATTAAGTTTGCATATTTCAATTTACATGTACTACATAAATGTTAACATGGTAGTTACCTATAAGTGTAATATCTAGAACAATAAATAAATGGGGTTGTTGGGGAGGCATGCAGATATAGGGTCAGATAGGTTTAAACTGAGGGACAATCACTAGCCATAGTAAAGCACAGATGGCAAACTCTAGGATAAAACAGAAGTCTGACCAATGGCAGAGAGGTACCTGCAGATCACTGGACACAGGAAACAGCCTCAACAGCAGAGCAGTGTTTCAGAGATTACATAATCTCAGTGAGCAGCAATCTGAACTCTAGGGGCAACCAATTTCAGAGGCAGACATATTTCCAGTGGCAGTGGCAGTCAAAGCTTCGGCCACATCCACAGCTTCAACAAAAACTATGTGGGAAAGAGAATTCACCGGGAGCTTGAACAAAGGTAAAGAACTGCCTGTCCTGCTGATTTGTTTGACCAGACCATGAGCATAGAGCAGTAAACTCCAAGTGGTTGTGTAGGAACAGGGTGTATCTCACAGCCAAGGTCCCTACTAGTGTCAGTCACATAAGGCATCATTTTGTGTATTAGGGCAAAGAGTGTGGGTCTCAGGGATGGCGGGAAGAAATTTATTTCTGGCTCAGCATACTGCTCTTATTCTACTGGGAAAGCAGCGCCAAATTTAAATCCAGCAGGTTCCACACATGTTGGGTCTGTGTGGCCCCCATACCTAACATCCAGGAGCACCAGAACCACAATTGCAAGATCAGGCTCCATTATGTAACTACAAACAAAGAACTGGATACCAAACCAAAACAATAAAACCAACCTGTATACCTGTGGGTAACAGAGCTTAGAAACCAGCCCTAAGCAGAAGAAACTGCTAACCAGACTTGCAATGATCAAGAGCAAAAGAAGAGACAAAGCACCATGAATATAACTGAAGAATCTCCAACCATACAACAGAAGTCTTTGCCCACTTCAGAGTTAACTGATGGATACATCAAGGTAATGGGATACAGAATTCAGAACACTTGTTATAAAGCTTCATATCAACAATGAGAAACAAATACAGAAATTTAAGGACTATGTCATATGGGAAATAGCAATACTGAAACAAAATCAAGCTGAATTATTGGAAATTAAGTTTGTAATAGAGTAAATTAAAAATTCAGTAGACAGTCTCAGTAACAGAATGAAGGAGGCAGAAGAAAGAATCTCAAAATTGGAAGATATTTCTTGTCATTATGGGAAAACACTCAAAAAGCTGGAAGCAGAGCTATGTCAAGTTAAAAAAAAAAGTATTCACCAAATTAATAGGCACTATTAAATGGTCAAATATAAGAGTGTCAGGAGCTCCAAAATGTGTAGGAAGAGAAGCTCTGTTTAAAAATTTATTTCATGAAATAATAAGAAAAAACTTTCTTAATCTGGGAAAGAATCAGGAAACAGAATACAGGTGAGGCACAGAACTCCTAGCAGGGCTGACCATAAGGGATCTTTACCATGATGCATGATAACCAAGCTCTCTCAGTTGAACTAAGGAGAAAATTCTTAAATGTGCACATGAAAAAAAAAATCAGTTGACATATAAAGGCAACTAAATCAGACTCACAGCTGACAACTGACAAGAAACTGTACAGGCAAAGAACAGAATGGAGTAACATATTCCAGATTCTAAAAGGAAAAATTTCTGCCAAGATAACCATCTTAATTCCATGGGTCGGGCATGCGGGTGGAACTCTGCGTCATCACCAATCTTGGCCAATGGAGCAGAGGAAGCAGCCCAAACCCAATTGGTTTTGAAGTAGCTGGCAACACCTTTATTCCAAAGGTGGCCAGTGTACTCATTGAGTGACAGGCTTTGCCCACTAGCTGCCCACCTATGAGTCCTGGGGACATGGCAGTGATGAAATATTACATATGAACATCCATGGATACTGACATCATATATGTAAGTGAGGAATGAATCCTGAAGGACACATACAACAGGGCCACTGTATTTGCTGGTAAGTGAAGGGATTGAGACATGGTGGTAGGAGGGTAGAGACTGACAGATCTGTATGGGTGAGACTGATCCACCAGACCACAAGGGAGTCCTGAGATGGGCTTGTTAGCACAGGGCATCAGTGATCACCACACACCTCACCACATCACATGAATGCTATGGCTTGGGGCATGTCTAGCATACCCAGATCCAAGTACCTGATTGAGTGGTGGAAGAGGGGACAGACCACATTAGGCAAGGGCATGACACTAACCAGGACCATGGGTAAATTCTTGGGGGATAAGTGGACCTAACCCTATGAAATACAAGTCCTACTGGTTAGCTCAAGAGCTTGGGTGGTGAAGGCTGAAATGGGAATGAACACAGAACCTGCCAACACACACAGGTCTGAGACTAAGAATGGGCTGGGAAGTTTCAAGCTGCAGCACCTGCATGTGCATCCTAAAACAGGGTGTGGGGTGCACCGGCAAACAACATCCACCAGATCATAGAAACGCCAAGATGAGGGGCAGGCTATGCCAGGCAAGGGTCTAGCACCTCCTGGGGCATGTGAGTTCTGGGTCTGGGGGTGGGCTCAGTGGGGAAACTGGGAGACTGCCATACTGGACCAAAGCTCTCATTAATGAACATGTGTTCCAGACCTGTGGGTCAGGCAAGCTGTGTAAGGTAGCTCCTTCTGTTGGCAAGTGTTTGTGTTGGTTTTGGAAGGGGGCAACCAGACAGGGCCAAGCAGATTTTATCCCACCTGCAAATGCAGAAACAAGGCTGGAGTGCAGGTCATGCCAGGCTAGGGTATCCCAGCTACTGGTTCACATGAGCCAGGGATGGGAGCAGACTGAGCCAGGTTGTAGCACCCACCAGCAAGAATGAGACTTGGGGCTGGCCAGGTCAGGCCAGGCTACAGCATCAAAAGGCAAAGGTTAAGACAGATGGGGGCTATGCCAGGCCGGGTCAGAGCAACCACTGGCATGCTTGAAATCTGTGGAGGGGAGCAGGCCTGGCTGGGAAGCAAAGGCCAGGTTGTGATCCCCACTGGAGAGTGCAAGGGCCAGGGCCAGGCTGTGGTCTGATCTGGATGCAGAATCCCTCAGCATGTGTGTTGGCTGAGTGTGGGATGCACCAGACTGGGAAAAAATCTAGCACCCATTGGTGCTTATGAGAATCAGTGTGGGTATAGGATGGGCTAGACCAGGTCTCTGCCCTCACTGAGCCATGTGTGAGCTGTGTCTGGGCGTAGACCAGGCTTGGCTGGGCTGTTGCGCTCAGTAAGAACTGGAATGGGTGAGGGCCAGTGAGGAAAGGGCACTGCTCCTGCTAGGACAGGAAGTGGAATAATAGGACTGGCCCATGGATCCACTGCTGTGCGAAAGATCTGGTACTATGAGAGATCCTGATGGAGGAGCCTGGGGAACTCCATTGTCAGGACACATTCCCTGCAGGTGAATGCAAGAACCAAGACGGGGAGCAGCCCAGACCAGGCCACAATATGGTACTCATCAGCATACATTTGGTGCAGGTCAGGGCAGGCCACACTGGGTCAGTCCATATTACCCACTGGCAAATCCGAGTGCCAGAACGGAGTGTGGTTCAGGACAGGTCAGGACAAACTACCAGCCAGTCCACATGAGGGCCAGGACTGGGAGCTGGCAGGACTGGGCTAGGCTGTATTCCCCAATAGTGTGAGCTTGATTTGGGTATGGGCCTGGTTTGTCCAGGCTACAACTCCCACTGGCAGATGCTGAGGTGAGGGGCTGTGCTAGACTGGGCTACAGCACCCAACCAGCACATGTGAAACACAGGGCTAGTGGGGATGACACCAGTGGAAAGAGGGAGGACTTAGAGAGCCCTCCTGCCAGGCTACTACCCCCACTCGTGAGCATGAGAGCTGGAACAAATGAAGACCAGACCGGGCAGCACCATATCCAATGGCCTACATGTGAGCTGGAACAGGGAAAAGCCAGGTTGGGCTGTCTGTACCTTCTGATACACGCATAAGCCAATGTCGGTGTGGATGGATTAGACTTTGCCACAGCCTCACCTGGCAGATGCTGGCACAGGGGCCAAATTCTGTCCTGCACAGGCATGGCTTAGGTAGATGGTGGCACCTGCTGGCACCAGTGTGGATTGGAGAGTGGGGCTGGTTGGGATGAACTGGGCTCCAATTCCCATCAACATGTATGAGAGCTGAATGGGATATAGGACAGACACAACCAGTCCAAGAAGGAGAACCAGGGCAGGGGCAGGTCTGGTGGGCATTTTTGAAGGTCGCTCCTACTATACTGCAGCTGCCACTGGTTTATGTGAAGGTCGAGTATGTGGTGGGCAGAATTGGGCTAGGCTCTAACACCTGTTGGGATGCTTAAAACATTGGGCTGGAGACAGAAATGACCCAGCAATTGCAACTATCAGTGTGTGGGAGACTGATTTGGGCGACAAATTGTGCCGGACCCTGTATTGGCAAACACATACAAGAATCAGGTCTGAGATTGCCTCAGATGAGGTTTCGTGGGCGATTCCCCACCAACTGAACTGCTAGACTCAGAGCCCTAACCAGGGGCTGACTGGGAGTGGGTGTGTCAGAGCTGGGCCTCCTCAGTGGCACAGACAGAACAGTGGACAGCCTAACCAAATGTACATGGAAGATATGGCAGCACATTAGAGCCTCCAGAGGACACCTGGCAGAGGATAAAGGTTAGAAGAAATTGATCAACTACCCCAGGCAAGCATTGGCAGTGAGGATCTTGGCAGACGGAGACACTAAGGTGGACTAGAGCAGCCAGTGGATTCTGGAAAGATCTCATCATTATTGGAGTGGCGATTTAACCAGCAATTCCATATTGTTGAACTATTAAAATCTGTTGGGAAATTCATGATGTTGTAAATTTCTAATTTTTTTTCCTGTTGTTGATTTTGTATTGTGGCTTTTCATTCAAGTGGGATGTATGTGACTGTGTAATGAAAGACTTTCATGTCCAGATGTGAGGATGCAGTGCAGTGTGCATCTCTACTTCCAGATCAAAGAGGGACTACTAATGAAACTGTTAGCTGTATCTCGACAATAGGAGGCTGGAGTCTCTGCAATTGTCTATGCCCGCACTGATGAACATGTGACTGTTGGTGAAGAGCTATGTTATAGCAATAATGTAGAGCCCAGTCCGGTGGCATAGTGGTTAAGGTCCTCGCCTTGCACGCCCAGGATCCCATATGGGCCCCGGTTCTAATCCCAGCGGCCCCGCTTCCCATCCAGCTCCCTGCCTGTGGCCTGGGAAAGCAGTCAAGGACAGCCCAAAGCTTTGGGACCCTGCAGCAATGTGGGAGACCCGGAAGAGCTCCTGGCTTCGGATCAGTGCGCTCGCTTGGGGAGTGAATCATTGGACGGAAGATCTTCCTCTCTGTCTCTCCTCTCTGTATATCCACCTTTCCAATAAAAATAAAATAAATCTTTAAAAAATGATAGCAATAATGAAGGGGAATTTGGTGGTAGGGAGAGAATCTGTAGAGGGGGCAGAGAAAATCCCAGGACATGTTGAGCTGTGTCATAGAATGATGATAATAATTTGGAAACAAGTTAAACAAAAAATAAAATTTAAATTAAAAATATCTTTGTGATCCACAAAAAATTTTTTTCAGACAGGATAACATACCCAGTAATGTTTTCTTTATTTTTAAAAATCAAATAAAATGCTTCTACAGTGAAATTCAAATAATTCACCTCTTCCAAACCTGCCTTACAAAACATATTTCAATGAATCATAGCTCACAAGGTAGCATTGTTTTCTCCAAGAAGCACTTGTTTTCTTCAAAAAAACACTGGTTATTCAGTCACATGTCATTTTTTTCAATGTTGATATAAATCTTTTGTTTTACATTTATTACTGTTGTTGATTTTATTTCATGGCTCTCATTTAAGGTAATGTGTAGTAAACGCGTAATAGACATTATCATATCCAGATGTAAAGATACAATGTGTTATTCCTCTCTGCTTCCAAATCAGAGACAAACTTTCACTGAAACTGTTTGATGTATCTTGACAATAGGAATCCTGGACTCTCTGCCAGTGTCTGGACCAGCAATGTCAGGATAAACTTAAATAGCAGAATAATAGAACTATGACTACTTATGAAGGACTATACTATTGTAATAATATGGGGGAAAATAAGTTGGGAGGAGTCAACCTCAAATCCAGAGCCTATGGGATTGTACCATAAAATTAAAAATAAAATAGAGGGGAAATGGAGCTAAAAGGTACTCCTAAGAACATTAAACACTCAAAAATCTTTAAAATCTTTACCCATGGTGAAATTAAGTCACAGGTAAGAGGATCAACGAGCCAAGAGGAAATATAAACAAATAGGATGGCAGAGAAGTCAGAGGATGTCAAAGGTCAGATAGGCATTTTTAAAGAAAGTTACTTTAAAGAAGACCCAACTGTATGTCAGCTAAATAGAAATCACTGCAAAAGATACCACAGGTAGATTCAAGAAAACGTCTCAGAAAATTTCAGGCAGAAAATTATTTTTAAATGAAAGTGGATGGCAACATGCCCATTGTGGGTTTCTCTTATTTCATAAACTTTAAATATTTGAGTGCCCCATGAAAATATACTTTTTCTAAGAAAAGCAATTGCTTGGATAGGATTATTGTCACTTCTCTTTTCTTAAAAACATATTTGACTCAATTGAAAGACACAAAGAGAAAGACACAGAGATTTCCAAGCTCTTAGCTCACTCCCTTGAAGGCCAAAATGGCCAGGTCTGGGCCAGCTTAAGCCAGCAGTCAGGAGAATCTTCAGGGACTCCCATAAGAGCACTTTTCAGGGGCTTTGGCAGGGAGCTGGATTGGAAGCAGAACATCTAAAACAAAACGGTGCCAGAAAGGATGCCAGATTGAAGGGGATAGCTTTATCTGCTTTGCCACAGAGCTGACTCCAGGTCCCCTATTTACAAACTACAATCTGTGTATTGACAATGCTCATATTCACATTACATTCTAAGGTTATTCAGAATACTCCTCAGGCTACGGGGATGTCTGCTAGGCCTGTAGAGTGGATATAATCTGTATTTTGTGAATATACTCCCCAGGTAACAACTAAGCATTACTACATTTAAGGAAAGATATTTTCACAGATCCTATGTGCCTTTAAACTAATTGAAAGTTTCATGGAAAAGCATGTCATATTTGTTGATTCTATTCATAAGAATAGAACTGAATTCATACCACTATCATTTTATTGATTGCACAAGAACTGCTCCACTTTATTTATATCAGCATTTTTAGCCCTATTGCATTCTCTTACACGTTTGGAGAAATATGGTACTGTACCTTTGCATCGAGGTGCTTCTGTCCAGGCTCCATTTAGACACATGACTTCTACTTCCCCAAATATTTCAAAAGGACTATTACATTCATAACGTACTTTATGCCCAGTTGGGTACCTTGCCATCTTAGGGGATAGTATAATAGCATTTTCTACATGGGGTGGATTCACACATGAAACCTCTGAATAAAGAAGGAAAAAAAAACAATTAAGCATTCACATTGAGAAGCCAATCACTGCACAAGCATCCATGGTTCAAAGAATATTTAAAATCAGTAGGTAGCCTGTTGTGAAACATTGTGCTTGTGTCAGTACATTCATACATTGTGTGTTGAAACATAAGACAAAGCAATTTTTGGAAGAATTTAAACCTCTACCTCATTAAATGTCTTCTCCTTTCCTCTTTATAATAGTGGTAAGAATCCTTCAGAAGTTGGTATACAGTTCTTTCTTTCTTTTCTGTGCAGATTTATTTATGTGTTTGAAGGGCAGTTTGACAGTGACACACAAGAGATGAGCAAGAGGGAGAGAGTGTGGAAGCAAAGGAGGGTTGGAAGAGAAAGATATCCTTCTTTCACTGCTTTGCTATTCGGGTAAAAATCGAGGGCTGGGCCAGGCAAAAAATAGCTAAACAGCTTAAAATAACATATTAGATATTTTATGAGCGAACAGAGGAAAGGAGCTCCAAGGCTCCAAACATAAATTGTCAGAAATAGGCAGATGCTGATTGCATTGACTTTGTCAGCACACATTGTAAACATACCTTGAAATGTCATGCTGTAGTCCACACGTACATATGTTCACCACTAATTTAAGATGCCTACACAGTTATGCACTATGTAAGTATTATGATCCAGCTTTTTTTTCCTGCAAAAAGCAGTGCAAGCTGGCCCAAGTCCTTGTGCCCCTGTCACGCACATAATATAACTTGAAGAAACTTCCCTTCCTGGCTCCAGCCTGAAACAACCCCAGGGGTTGTAGTTCTCTGAAGAGTGAACAAGAAGATGGAAGCTCTCTTTCTCCTCCTCCACCTTTCTTTCTGTAATGCTTACTGTCTAAGTAGTAAAAAAAAAAATCTTTTTAAAAGAATCTTCATTACCTTTATTGTTATGATGTACCCATACAAGAAAATCCTATATGGTTTTTCAAACATTAAAATTGCTCTGTAATGAAAGTACTTCTAACACTTATCAGAACATCCACAGACTAACAGGCAAAACAGTGTGTATAACTGTATTATTCATTTCTCTCAAGCATAGATTATAAATAAATGGGTATATCAGCACAACTAAAATAAAACATTTTGGCATACTGACATTATAATCCTTAGCATTACTTAATTTGGAATAAAAACTTCACTGAGAATGAGAATCTATTTTTAAGATTATCACTATCTAAAATGTTTGAGCTTCTGTTTTTACAAATATTTTATTTAGTTTTATTTAAAAACATCAATTGGAATTTTCTAGTAGTGAGAATTTGGCTCAATTTGTTTTACAGTTAAAATTGAGTTTACAACTGCATTAAAACGTGATTTAAAATAAAAAAACAATTGGAATAAAGTTATCAAGTGATATTATGATTTGGTTAGACGTTATTATATTAAGATTATTGTTTAACATCTCTAAAACTAAACACTTAGGAAATCAGCCAAAAATTAAGACCCCAGCTTAAAAGCAACTTAATTTAAATATCAGTCAAAAGACATAAAATCAAGATTCCAAATACAACAAACTAGTCTACAAGCATAAAGCTAACTCTGTTAACTTGCCAATGTTTAAGAATACTACAAAGAATGTATTACTCATGAGAAACCTTCATATGTTTACACAGCCGTAACAGGACATAGCAACGCTTTCCCCACTGAATGCAAAGAGGCCCCTGCAGGGTGTGATCAACAGTTTCAGGAGCCCATCACTAGATTTTTCATTAAAGAGGTCTAAAAGGATCTCATGGACTTTCATTTTCAGCAATTTGCTAGATGATGCTGATGCTCTGATCTGCACTTTGAGAACCACAGGGCTGGGAGGAGAACCACTGCGTACTCAATTTGTCCCTATATTTTTAGGCTTACACCTACTTGCTCCTGTCCTAACAAATTAATGTATACCCCTTTTCATGATGCTAAATTCCTTTTTATTCCTTATTGCCTAAGACACTTGAATAAATTCATTACAAAAGCATATGCAGGTACCTTGGCACATTGGCGTTCCTATCCACTTGCTGTTAACACATGTCACAACACTGGATCCAGTCATCCTGTAATTTTCTGGGCATGTGTAAGTCACTTGGTCTCCTGATTTATATGTGTGCTTTCTCCTTCCACTGGGTATGGCAACATCAAAGACGGGTAAATTTAGACAATCTGTTACTAAAAGGAACAGAAAAACTAGTTCAGGAAATGATAATAAACAGTAATTACATTCCAAAACATTTGTTACCTACATATGAAACCAATGAATAATACATAAACTTGTGTGAAACATGAGGTTACAGGTTCTGCTCTAATTGTTTTAGACTGATCTACATCTATTAAAAAGATAAAATGAGGGCGGTATTGATGTCCGATGAGACATTGGTAGCTGTACCTGAGAAAGCATTTTTTATCCAGATTCCTATTTTTCCTACTTTAAAGAAATTTGGAAATGTGTTTTTATAGGGAGGTAGCTTTACATGGAAAACAGAATGAATAACGATGCATTCTATGAGTCGTGGTGAGCTGTGCTTCAGGAAGAGAGAGGAAAAGTGAGAGGATGTGTGTTTCTGGAAGTTGAAATCCCACACAAGATGAGGCAGAACTGAAGTCACATTTGGCTCATAACCCCAAACCTTTTCCTTGTCATTAGGACTATGATTCTTGGCTAGAATCCAAAACCTTCAATAGTAGGACACCCTATAAAGTTCTAGAACTGCAATTGATTTGTTTCTCATACAATTTTTACTCCCAAAGAACGGTATATTTAATATATGTAATAGATCAAATATACTATACTTATGCAAGCTGGGGGTGGTGACCATTTTCCTCCTAAACATGTTATGGATTCGGGTCCAACAATTCCAAAACCTTCATTACATATGTATGTGATTTCTCTTCCGTACTGGTAACTGGCTGATGTAATAATGGCAGCACCATTAGAAATCTCAGGTGGAGAGCCACAAGGAAGTCCTACAATCAAAATAATGCAGGAATTAATTCATATTAAATGAACTCAGGATTTTAGTTGCATGTACTGGCTTTTCAGTGGTTGTATTTGAACAGGTGCAGAAGCAGAGCAGTGACTATTACATCAATATGAAAGGCTGCAAGTACTTCCTAAAGCCACTGTTGTTGTGTGTTTGTTAAATGTCAGAGCCTGAGAAATTACTCAAAACAATAAAACATATCAGCACCCTTATGAACTAATCAATATCGATTTGGGACACCAGATGATGGTCCTGGTTCTTGGCTTCTGCCTGTCCCAGTCCCAATTGTAGTGCCCAATTTGGAGAATGAACCATTGGGTGAACAACTCTCTATGTTTGCTTCTCTCCCTCTCTTTGTGTTTTAATGCAAAAATAAACCTTTAAAATAACAATCCAAAATGTCAGAACAAGTGATTTTATAATGAGCCAATAAAATCAAATTTTAATTGACTTATTCAGAAAGCATTTTAATGATAAATATAAAAACCCTTATATGTGTGTAGTGGTTCAATTCTTCAACATCAGGAACTTGATAAGAGAGATATACATTTAAATGTTTATTTGTTTTTATTGAAATAGCAGATTTACAGAGAGAAGGAGAGACAGAGAGAAAGATTGTCTGCTGGCTTATTTGCCAAGTGCCCCAATAGCCAGAGCTGATCCAATATGAATATAGGAGCCAGGAGTTTCTTTGGGATCTCCTGTGTGGGTGCAGCATTCCAACGCTTGGGCCAACCTCTACTACATTGCCAGGCCACAAGTAGGGAATTAGATGGGAAATGGGGCAGCTAGGAAATAAACTGGCACCCATACACAATACCGGCACACACAAGGCAAGGATCACCCACTAGACCTGAGAAGAGATAATTGCAATGAATTATACTAAAAAAGAGCTGGGGGTTTCACAAGGCTCTTACCCACACACTGAGGTGGAGAGCTCCATCTCCCCATGTGACATGTTATGCCATCATCTCTCGATATCCTGAAGCCATCTTCACAAACATAATTTAATTTGGTGCCATGTGGGTACGCTCTGGGAACAACTAGGTCTTTGCTTTTTCCTAGAGACATAGATGATGCAATGTTTCCGTGTTCTATTTCAGGTGGTTGAAAACATGGATTTTTTTCTGTTGAAGAAGAAAAATCAAAGGTAAACACAAATAGGATGTTTAATGCTTAAAATGAAAAACCACCACAAAAACTATTAAAACAATTACAATTTGAACAAATATTCAAAAATCTAAAAATTGAAATCTGCAAGAATGTGCTTTCATTTTTCTTTCTGGAATCCACTTATGCTATTTAGTAATCCCAACTCTGTTTATCAATGTCCGATTCATTATGAGGAGTAAGATATATTTATGTGGAAATTTACATAGTATTTACACTATGTCCCAAGGTTTTGTCCTAATTTTTCTCACCTGAATAAAAGAATGGTAATTAATTTATGCTCCTTCAAACATAACTGAGAGTTTCAGGATTAGAATCACAGAGGAAAGGTTTTCTGCATTTTCACCACACAAAGCCCTAGGAGACTGTCCATCTCCGGGAGGAATTAATGAAACCAGTGACAGAGTACTGACCAACACAACGTGGTATTGATTGCCATCTTCCCTCCTGGCACACCATCTCCTCCGCTCCCTGAATTACATAATTTTCTTGGCAGAGAACAGATATTTTTTCTCCATGCTGATAATTCACTGTGGTGTTCATATCTTGAGAGTTGGGAATCTGAGGTGGTGGTGGGCATGACTGTGCTTGTCCTAAAAAATTAAAAGTACATTGCTTGAGTAAAATCATAACAAAATACTAAAAGCTTAATCAACAATAAATTTCAATTTTAATAGCTAGGATAATATATTACCTTATAAATGCTGTGCTCCATTTACATATGCTGTAGCTTTTTAGCTTGTATGGAAATTTTACATTACCTGTTTTCGGGGTCTCCAATGTAGTTTCTACCATTTCTTTCCTGCTTGACAAATCTTGACTGATTTATATAAAAATATTTTAACTATATAAACCTTCTAGAAAGTTTTATCTGCATTACACTTTCTTAATAACAAGTGGTATATATATATAACAAGAACCTTTTAGAATTGTCAAGGATCAAATCATTGGGAATGCATGGAAACCCCCACAAGGTAATTTACAGTATAGGGTGCTTACTCCTAGGAGGACTGCATTTCCAAAGAGCCAACTAACCTTTTGGCAGGATAGTACATGCGTTTGCCAGTGATTTTTAGTGTGTTCTTTAAAGTTTGAATTATCCTGGAAATACTACTTGAGTAGTTTATCTGTGCTGTTTGAAGAAAAACAAACTGATAATATGTATGTATCAGAAAGCATTACACAGCCTGTACTAGTTGCACAATCAGCAGATGTAAAAGACAGGTTTGTAAGTTTTCCAAATTTGTGAAGTGTCCTATAAGATAGTTCTAGCTGTTTTATTTATTGTTTTGCGTTTAGACAGAAGATTAAGATGTTTATTTTTTCAAATAAGTTCAGATTTCCATTATTACATGGAACTGGGAAATTCATTCATACGATACACTTCAAAACAATGCAAAATTCAATACAAGCTTTTAAAACTTACCTAGAAATATTTTTGTAATAACAGTGGCAGTTCACAAAGACAAATCAATCATGAAATCATGTGAATAAAAAATAAAACATATAAAGCAAAAATGCATTTCCTTGACTTGTTGAACCAAAATAAAGGTTATTTTGAAGACATGGACTGATTTGAAGAACAGTATGAGCTATGTTAATCTAATCCTACAACTGGAATATATACTTTTTAGGTTTTTGAAAGAAGCATCACAAAGATTGATAATGAAAAATTACATTTTACAATCTTGTATAATACCCTCCATAGACATACAGGAAACGATTAAGTTGTCTCAGAAGATATTTGTTTATTTAATACACAAAATAAATAATAAATCAGATATTTATTTATATAATAAAAACATTAAATGATGTGAATCGACAAAGGACAAATATAAACAAATATAGATATTACTTCATAGGTGATAAAAATTAAAATGAAATATGTTTTATTATATTTATACGTGATTCCGTACAATAATACTTAAGAAATTTTATGTTATAAAGATATAATGATGGGCCAAGCATGGTAGGCTGGTGGCTAAAGTCTTCCTTTTATGCGTACTGGGTAGCATATCTGCCCTGGTTCCTGTTCTAGCTGCTACACTTTGCTTCTAGCTCCCTGCCTGTGGCCTCAGAAAGCAGTAGAGGATGGCCCAAAGCCTTGGGACCATACACCGTGTAGGAGACCCAGAAGAAGCTCCTGGCTTCTGGATTCAGATTAGCTCATCTCTGACCTTTGAGGCTACTTGGGTAGTGAACCAGCAGATGGAAGATGACTCTCTTTGTAAATCTGATATTAAAATTAAAAAAAACTTCAATACAAAAACACAATGACAGATACATGTTTTAATTTTTGCACTGAAAGAATATGAATCATTAAAATGTTTTTAGAAGAAAAAAATGAAATACAACTGAAAAAGTAATAGATAAGACAAACGTAACAACTCTTTAAATAGTGACATTTAAGAAAACTAAAAAGGAAAAGAAAAAAAGGGAGAAAATCAAAACAGGGAAAAAGTCATTTGTTTGAAAATGTTAACAGAATGTGAGAAAACAGGGAAATGATGAAGGGGAAACCCACCAAAGACAAGAATGATAGAGGGGGTGACATGAACAAAGTAGTAGAACAGGCAGCCCCAACTCTGCCTGTCCTCGGTGTACACACTGAGGGAACAACAGGCATGATCAGGATCCTTTGTGAAATCTGACAACTAATGCAGCTGTCTGGCAGCTAGGTGAGCAAGAACAACTGCAACAATGCCAGTGGGGAATCAATGACACTCTGTTCCCTTCCCTTCGTGTAAAGTAATTCATACAGCTGACAGGAAAGACCAGGTTTTCCCACTGGGTGGAGGAAGCACCATTGGGGGAGCAGTCTGAAGGCCTGGCTTCTGTGTCAATTACAATACTTACAAACCCAAACACTCGAGCAATGACTATAGAAAATACTAAAGACCTGAGTGTGGTCAGCCATTCTAGATCTGTTGAAAATCATTGACTCAGCTTAGCCGAATATGTTAGGGGAGAAAGGCAAAAGTGCAGCATTTGTCCAATTTTCTGACTTTGCAGCAATCTGCCTGAAGGTCTGCGTTTGTCTTACCAAACCTGGAGAACAGATGGAACAAAGTATGCTCCAGATGCCTGAGGGTGACGGACAGCAGCAGAGTGGGTGCCAAATGTTTGCTCCCAGACACACCATGGGTGCAGTAGACAGAATCAGACACAAGCTAAAAGATCAAGAGATGGGGGCCATGGGGCAAAGGCAACTGCAAATCCCCCTGACTGTGAAATTACACCCACATGTTCAGAGAACACACTGCCTCAGAAGATAATGTTTCCTAGGACTCCAAACCTCTGGCGTGACTGAATGGTGAAAAATGTATTCCTATGCCAGCCAACCTGTAGACGTTGGGAAAGCGGACTTTTTCCAAATGTGTATGTATTTTAACAGATAACGTGGAAATCAGTAAACATAGAAACATGGAACACATGACCCAAACAAATCTCCAAAAACTGACCCTACACAACAAAGACATATTAAGTATACGACACAAAAAATTAAAAACAATCATCATAAAGACATTCGATGAGTTCAGGAAAACATCATCTGACCAAAACTAGAGCTCTATCAATGAGATATGAAAAAAATTAGTAACGACTATTACAGCTGATATGAAAAAATTACTGGTGTGGCCTAAAGATTCTTAACTTATGCAGTAGAAAGATCAGTGAACTTAAAGCCAGGTTAATTGTAATTATCCAGTTAGAGAAGATATATGAAACAATGAAATTACGAAGTGCTTTGAAACTAAATACCCAACCAAGTGCTCTAACATCTATCCTATGGAAGTTTTGATGGAGAAGATTGAGCTAGAAGGTATCAGAGAACGTACTTAAAGAAACTGAGCTTGGAAACTTGCAAATGTTGGGAAGCATATGAGCATCAAGATTCAAGAAGTCCAGGGAATTCAACAATGATTATGCCAAGGGAGACCACATAGACATTGTCAAAATTAAAGACAGTGAGGTGTTCGCCAGTTTCCCATTCTATCTTTACCTCTGCTTCTCATTTCTATATATTAATTACAGAACTGATTGAAAGCACAAAAAAGTCAGATATACTTCAGACTTACTTTTAAAATACAAGTTTAGTAGCTACAGAAAAATGTATCTGTGCAAATAATAGCCTAAATTATAAAGCAGTGATCAAATACATTACAGTTATGACATACTGGTAATGAACCAGAATCATTTCAGCAACAATGAAGTCATAGTACAAATGAGTAATAGAAAAAAAAATGTTGAAAAAGTCACAAGTATGTGAAAGATAATCAAAGAATTTTGTACAACTAGTGGGTCAAAGAGGAAAAAATTTAAGAAAATACCTTGAGATAAATGGAAATGAAAATGTAACTTATCAAAACTAGAGGATTTAGGAAAGTATTAGCTAAATAGTACTTTATACATACAAAGTCACCATTAGAAACTGCAACTACATTTAAAAGTCAACTGTACATGGTAAACTACATTAAAAAACAGAGACCTTCAGTAACAAGGCAACCTAATGACTCAGAGTTACCACAGTAACCACAACAACAGAAAAAGAAGAAAGCAACAAAGGGTGAAATCCCTAATTAGGCTATGAAACTTTAAATGCAATCGAGTAAATAGGAAATAAAAGATGGGACACTATAAGTGATGTACAGAATAAACTTGAGTGTGAGTGACTTCTGTGAACCATTACTTGTCAACAGTTCGATAGTTTAGTAGGAACGGATAAATTCCTAGAAACATATAGGCTACCAGGCCAGTCATGAAGCCAATAGCTCTAAATAGCTCTAAAACCAGAGAGGAATAAAGCAATAATCACAAACCTCTATGAAACAAATATCATGTAATAGCTTCATAGTGACTGTACCAAAATCTTGAAGAAGGAATGTGAGTATTTCTTAAGCTTTTAGAAAAAAAACTGAGGGTTCATTCCTCATCTCTTTTTGTGAACCAAACTTTACCCTGAAACTGAAGGCAGAGGAAGCATACCCCAGGAAAAGCAAAGTGTAAACATATATATACTTGATAGGTATAGACGCATACATACTTTACAAGTATTAAATTCAACATATTATTACAACTACTAACCACCAGGAAGAAGCTGAATTTATCCCATGGATGTCATAGGGTTCAAGAACCAAATTCACCAGTCTTCTGCATATATTGTCATAGCATAAGGAAGGACACCTTCACAGGGTCATCTCATTAGTCTGTTAATCATTTGGCAGACCCAATGCAGCAACCTAGTGGCTAAAGCTCTCGCTTAGTATGTAGCAGGATCCTATATGGTGCCAGTTCATAACCCAGCTGCTCCACTTCCCATCTAGCTCACTACTTGTGGCCTGGGAAAGCAGTAGAGGATGATTCAAAGCCCTGGGAAACTGAATACATGCCTCCTCCAACCCTTTCTCCCACCTCTCTCCCCACCCAGGCAAGACCCAGTAGAAGCTCCTGCCTCCTTGCTTCAGATCAGCTCAGCTCTGGCCGTTGGGACCAACGAGGGAGTGAACCAGCCATGGAAGACCTTTCTTTTTGTGTGTGTCTCCTTCTCTCTGGAAATTTGCATGCCAAAGAAAAATAAATAAATGCTAAACACATAATCACTTGGCAGAATTCTACCCCATGCATGATACAAGCCCACAACAAAATCTACACGGAAGGGGAATACATCAAGAAAATAAAAGCCACGAATGAGGATCAGCAACTAGCATCACAGTCCATAGTTACAGGCTTATAGTCTGCTCTCAGATTAGGAATGGGGTAAGGATGTCTACTCTGGCCACTGTTTTCAAACAACATGTCCTACAATTCCTCAGTAGAGCAGTTAGGTCAGAAAAGAAGTGTGTGACATTGAATCAAAAGGTAGAAGAAAAGCTCTCTGTGTGCAGATGAATACAGGACCTTAAAATAAAATAATCGACATTACCAAGCATATTAGGACTATTAGAAAGGATAGTACATCAATTTGACAAGTTATATAGAAATATTATCTTCTTATAAAATGAGGCTTTACTAAACAAACACAAATAAAAATCCGATTAACTTACCACCATGAAAGAAACTGAGTTCACTGTCAAGAAAGCTTTCCGAAACGTAAGCCATAATATTAGATGACGTCACAGGTGAAGTGACACAGTAATAGCAGCATTACACCTACACTTTTAGAAAACTGGTGCAAGGTACATTCCTTTCAAGATTATATAACTAAAATGCAATACATGCATCAATACAGATCTTCAAAACATAGAGTCAAAAATCCAGCACACTCAGATACAGCGAAGGTAATATATAATGACCAACAGGAGTTCATATCGGGGATTAAAAATTCAACATTGACACTCATATACACCTTTCACAGTATTAGAATTAAGAAGCTGCATCATCACAGCAATAGATGCAGACACATACGTGACCATTGGAAACAGTTGTTGATCATGAAGTGCCTCAACTAAGCTAAGAACACGAGGATTCTCTCAACCTGCTGAAGCCCACCACCAATAAATCTGACATTATCCTGGTAAAAATATTCAAGAGATTCTTAAACACCTACAGAACCAAGAGATTGTTTTCAAAGTCTTATTTACACATACTGAGTTAAGCAGTGACTATATAGAGAGGAAAAAGAATATCAACCTCTAATCACCATGATTCTCAAAGTTAGTATAAGATGGATATTACACTCAAACATAAGTGATAAACTAAAAATATTCAAGGAGGAAATGTAAGAGAATATGTCCAGTTCACTGCAAGTAAATACTTTTTTGCCCTTAAAAAGACTATAAGCATGTTGAAGCCATGCACAATGAGGTTAGCTTTGCATTGGTGATTGGCTTTTGTATATTATGCATTTGCATACAATTATGAAAACATCAAGGCTAATGAGGGAAAGTATCCCACAGCAGCAGAGAGAATTGCAATTAAGAAAAACTGGAAATCGAGAATAAATCCTGTGCTTATCAAATGAGACTGTACATTTCAAACCTGATTTACAGGTTTTTTTTTTAAGGTAACTATAAACAAATACTTTAACAGGTGATCACATACAATATATATCAACATAATCAGACAGTTAACAAATTTCCATGTGTCTATTATATTACAAGAAACTGTAATCCAATTAGGATTTAGAAACTGTTCTTTATTTTTAAAATAAACTCCCTGTTTACAAAAGACTTAATAAACCATTCTTATAAGTGAAAAAGAAATGGAATATATTTAAAAACTATTTTTAAAAGTACTTGCCTGTACAGGTCAGTTTGGGTTTCCAGCTTCCATTTATGCAGGTTGAGTGTTTGTATTCTGATTTTTGTTTACATCTGTAACTTACGGTGATGTTATGATTAAATTCCTTCTTACTTGATAAGGTTGTCTCACTTGCAATTGAGTTTGATACTTTACACTTCTTAAGTTGACGTGTTCCTATAAAGGGAAAATATTTCCATGCAAACTAATTAATCATTAAATCATTAAATAAACTACTTTATTATAGCAATGACTCAGTATGCCTAGAGCGCCCCCTGCAGCTCGTGAATTTCTGTTGTCTGCATTTGAAACGCATGAGATGGCATCTTTGTCAGAAGCTCTTAGAAGAGAAGAATCCTAAAATTAAACAAAATTAAACAATTCATGATTTCTCTGCTTATGGTTAATACTTCTACACTCATTCAACATCCTCACCAACACACTGAGGAAGCTGAGTCCATGTGCCATTAAGGCATGTAACCGATCTCCTTCCAACCATCGTAAATGCCTCCACACAGGTGAACACCAGTGAATCTCCATGGCGGTAGGGAGGGTCAGAAGGCTGGACGTAGCCATGCTCAACTTCAGGGGCAGCTCCACACGTGCTCTCTTCCTCTGTGGAAAGTTCATGCAAATATATTGATAGGTTTGCATGTATATATGAAAACAAAAGCTGCTGAAGTTCAAATATTGAGACGGGTGTAGTTTACCAATGCATGTTGGTAAGGTTGTCCACTTTCCGTCAACACATGCGATTTTATTAGGCCCCTTCAAAAGAAATCCAGAATTGCAGGCATATTCTAGCACCTCACTGTGCTCATATTCTTCTTTCATTGTTCCTTTTAGTTGTCCATTGGGGAGCCTTGGGGGTGAACTGCATGATTGCACTTGGACTGCAGTGGAACCATGATAAATATTGGTTAAATTGCCTTTGTATAATCCAAAAATGCAATAAGACGGAGTTTTCTTCTTCAATTTGTGGCATTCATGAGCATTGTAAGAGTATTGTTTATATTAGATTCATACTCCTAATTACATCACTTGCACTGAAATAACATTGGAGGCAAATTTAAATTTTAAATGTGTTCAACAATCTATATATTTTGAAGATGCATGCAGACATATTAACAAGTGTATTTGTGTAAATTATGTTAATTTTCATTTCATAACATTTTGTATAAAGCTGCAAGGTTTAAGCAAATTTTGATCTATATGTTTTCACTTTCATTTATGACATGTGCAACAGAATTAACTGTACATATGCGATGAATTGTGGAGTAAGACACATTCCTCAGAAAATAACCAACATTAGTGCTGGTATGGTACACAAAAGGGAAATTAACAAAGGAATCTTTGCAATCTCAGTTACTACTGTGCACCTGCAAACACTTCCAACATAGATTTCATGACACTGTTGGAAACTTTTCTTAAGCAACACTTGACTTTCACAAGTAGAGCACTGAGTTATTTCATAAGCTTTTAGATATACTGGAAGCTCCCAAAAAGTATGACAGAGAAATCAGCATATTCAAAATCTGACTTCTTATTTTAGCAATTGTGAAATAATCACCTTTACATGTCGGGACATCAGGGGACCATCCAAAGTCATAACACTGTATAGAATCTGGTCCAACTCTGGTAAATCCTGATCTGCAGGAGAATTTTAGCACATCTCCAACTTTGAATTTTTCATTCCTGGGATTACCAATTAAATTGTTTTCTATTTGTGGAATGTTGCACTCTCTTTCTAAAATCAAGCAAAACACAAAATCAAGTTAACAGGAATCTTTGCTCAGCTAAGTTTTAAATGTGCCGTGTGAACATGAGCAGCTAGTTGGTAATGGATGTATTCAGGTAATCGCTTTCTTCTTTAAAAATCTGTTACCGGTGAGGTTTCATGCACTATCCACATCCACACTGGATTCTGAGAAGTGTTATATCTCTAGTTAGAAATGCCTCACATGAGGTCATTTTATTTTTTCTTAATCCTGGAAAATAGAAAACTTAGTGTCAAATGTAAAAGAGATTCTTGACATTATCCACACAATTTGCCATAGAAAAAAAATGAAGAATTACCCTGGAAAACCCAGGAAATTAACACTCAAGGTTTATGATAGAAAGAAGAAACTCAGAAGTATAATACCAGAGAAAATTGTAACCGATTATGTTAGTAATTGATGCTCAGGTTTAAATTATTTGAAAATTACACTTAGTATAATAATGCAGTTCTACTGCTATCACAAACCAGTAATTGCTATAGTTTATAAGATACATTAATTTTAAGTGGCATTTTGATGGTAGATGATTGATTTTGGGGCTTCAAAGTACCGTCTTCCCACAGTCTACCAAAAATCAAAATTACCTATTTTAACTTAACCTTTGTTCCTTAAATTAAAAAGATCAACGAGACATTCACTCTTTTTTTAAAAAATGGCAAACATTCAAATTTATTTTTGTTCTGAAACAAACAAAAAAAAATACTGAAAACTCAGTACTCACCATAGCATGTGGGTAAATGAATCCAACCATTGTCACCACATTCTATAACACCTTTGGTGTCTCCATTTTCATTTTCATAGCCATCCCAGCACTCATATTCCAACATGTCACCAATCTTATACCACACAGCATTGTTTTGGGTTCTGGAATTCTCAAACAGGGGCCTATCACAAGATTCTGATGCAGAGCAAATACAGTATTTTATTTTTGATGTCATCTAAGGAACATTTCTCAGAAGAACAAAGGCTTTATTATTCAGTAAGAGCTGTTCACAGATTATCAAAGACTAGTGTGATAATAATGCTAGTGATGAACAGGTCAGTATAATTGCTAAGAAATTGCAACATCAGAGTAGCATGTTTGGTGTAAAGAAGCAGTCAGTCATTATGCCATGGTTAAAAGAGGAAATCATTACTGAATTAAAGACTGATTTAACTTAGAGTACCATAAAAGGGAAGTTTCATACTGATTATGATCATAACTTTATAAAGGTATCATAAGCATTATAAATTACAAAAAATGTTAAAACAGTGAGCATGGGTTTATTTTCCATTTCAATAACATCATGATTAATATCATTTCAAAAATATCCTTGCATGACTTAGTAATAAATACATTTAACTGAATCATACACTCATTGAAAGATATCCTTCACATTTGAATAAACGGGTGAGAAATCTTTCAAAGCAAGAAAAAAATGACCTTATTGTAAAATTTCTGTTTCTCACTAATAAAAGTATTTTATAAATATGTTTAGATATAATATATCATAATATATTTATAATGTAACTATAATAAATATGTTTATGAATAAAATGTGAATATAAAATATTTATATAACTTAAGTATGCAATATATTCATATTCTTTGAATTTAATTTATTTAGAAATGTATCTACATTTTATTATTAAGCAGTAACAATAAATGTTAGATATTTCTGGGGTTCTATATATGGACACATACTACTGGTAGATTCTTTTCATGTCTAGAGGAGAAAGATTTTGGCGTAAAAACGATGTCCACCAAATAAAGGCACATTTAACATTTACAAAGGCCTCAAATGTAAATAAAGTGTGTTTACACCAGAAATGTGTAAGCTCCCTAACCCTTTCCTAAACTAAGTATGATTTCAAATGACAGAAAAGAAACATGACTATGACGTCAATATTCCAACCTTGTTACTTAACATTAAACAGAAGAATATATATATATATATATACATTTAGCTGAAATTTTTATCTTTACATAAAATATTTTATTTTTATACAAATCTCATTAATATACCTTAATGACCAACAAAACTAAAGCAACCTTCTCTACTTCAACAGGATAATGGACACTAACACCCACATTACTTACTAATGCAAGTGGGTTGATGGGACCATCCACTCTGTAGACACGTAAGTGATCCAGATGTTTTGCCATCTGTGGTTACATATCCTGGATTACACCTATATTCTGTTCTTCTGTTTAAGGTGTATGTCCAATCAGATTCAGAAAAAAAGCCATTCTCCACTTCCACATCTGCTTTTGAACATGTTTCTAAAAGTGAAGAATGAGGAAAAGATAATGACGTGTTAGATTACACTTATATAAAGACTTTATTAGCATGAAAAGATTCATAAAAACAGGGAGTTATAAATAGAAGTCTGGGTTAAGCATGATTATTCAAGTTCTTGTGCTCAAGAAAATAAGCTACAAGTTTCCAAATATAGCTGCTCAAAGTCTCTCAAGATACAGGACATTTTTTTTTCTTTTGGGTAACGTAACAGGTTTTAAATACTCATAATCCTTTCCAAGAAAATAATTTCCAATAAATTAATGGCTCAAGAGTATGCCAAGCTAATTGACACGACTTTGTCTCTAAGAATTTGAAATGCTGGGCCTGGCGCAATGGCGCAGTGGTTAAGGTCCTCACCTTGCACGCCCGGGATTCCATATGGGCACCAGTTCTAAACCCGGCAGCCCCGCTTCCCATCCAGCTCCCTGCCTGTGGCCTGGGAAAGCAGTCGAGGACGGCCCAAAGCTTTGGGACCCTGCACCTGCTTTGGAGGCCCGGAAGAGGCTCCTGCCTTTAGATTAGAAAGAAAGAAGGAAGCAACGAGGGAATAAATGAATAAGAGGGAAGGAATGATGGAAGGAAGGACTAAAGAAGAAACAAGGAAGAGGGAAGGACATAAGGCAAGAAGGCAGGAGGGAGGAAGAGAATGAAGGGAGAGAGAAGGAAAGGAGGGAAGGGAGAAAGGGAGGAAGAGATGGAGGAGCAACGAAAGAAGGAAGGAAGCTGTGTGAGAGGAAGTGAGGGAGAGAAGGGAAGAGAGAAAGAAAGGAAGGAAATAAAGGACAGAGGCAGAGGAAGGAAGAAAGGAAAGGCAGGAAGCAGGGAGGGTAGGAAGGAAGAAGGAATGATATAAAGGTAAGAAGGAAGTACAGAGAGGGAGAGAGAGAGGGAAGAAGTTCAGAAGGAAAGAGAAAAAAATGAAGAAAAGAAAAGAGAGAAAGAAAACAAAACAGTGTCTGACTTATCAGCTCCCAAATAAATGAAATATGAAACTTGATTGAGTTGCTTTAGAGAAACTGTGAAACCAAAATTCAACATAAATATGCAAGAATGCAAAACTGAAGGTCAGAGAGATGTGGACTTATGAGGGAAATCATGTTTCAGAGAAGCAAGCCAAATAAGCAAAAAAACACAGTCAGAAAAAAAAACATAAAAAATTAAGTGTAGAAGCAGAGAAAAATAGTGCTGAGGAGGATGGATTAAGAGGGAATGGATCCAACTGGAAACTATAATTGAAGGGAAATGAGCGAATCCCAAAAGGTTAGATACCACATGTTTGCCTTGATTTAACCTGTAATTTTTGTTTGGTTGTTTGCTACTTTTTGAACCTGTCATTGATACTGTCTCAACCCAGATGTTTCGAAGAATGGAACTTGCATTATTTTTAACATATTGTTTACTCAATACTATGTCAATTAATTCCATAACATTGTATATTGATGCTGATGATTTGTTGGGGCTTTTAACTGACCGGAATTTTACTCTGTTAGCTCTACCTTCAGACCAGAGAAGGTCTCCCCAAGAAGCCACTGAACTTATCTGGACAATAAGATGCTGGACTTTATGCTAGGTATATGCTTGCAATGAAGGAATCTCAACTGAACTTGAACTGTGGTTATGCAGCAAGGTGGAGGATTCCACTATGGGGGGAGGGTTGTGGGAGGAGTAGGGGGAAGCCCAGTGCCTATAAAACTGTATCACATAATACAATGTTAATAACAATTAAAACAAATAACTAAAACTTAAAAAAATAAAAATAAATAGTTATTCAAAAAAAAGAGGGAATGGATGAAATGAAATGGTTATAAGTGAAATACTCTTGGTATGAATAAAAATTTAAAACTTACCAAATGAAACCTCATTCCAAGTTTAAAGCATGGGTAACAGTATTAATCCTTTACTAGGACTCAAAAAAATGATGGAATACTAACCAGAAGAGAGAGTTGAAAAACTAAAGCTTCTTTATCACCAAAATTGGGTGATAGAAGGTAATTGATAAGCATGCATTCAAACAAAAGTTTGAAACGTTAGAAACTGACTACATTTATGAATAGAAATGCTCAATATCATATAACTGTGAAGTTTTTCTGAAATATGCTAGATATTGAATATAACTAGAGTGGAAATGTAAATAGGGCTATTTAACGAGATTTTGATAAGATGTTTAAAAATATACAGAGATCACAGACACATATCCTCTCACAGAGACTGATAGCAAATTAGGGTAAAAGGTCATTAGTAGCTAGATATACATATAAATGAATATATATATAAATCTATAGTAATTAAGATAAAACTTTTGGAAAATGATTTACAGATAGAGTAAAACACAATGTTCAAAACAATAATTATTAAGTAATTGTTTTGACACATTTGAAAGGCACATTACAGAAACTGGGAAATGTTGAATTTCCCATTTTATTAGAAAAAAATTATGATTATTATCTTGCATTAAGATATTCCCAAATGCATTGAATACATGAAAAAGAAAGATAGCATATCTTTTTAAAAATGAAAAGCAATTTTCTCTTGAAGAGAAATATTGCTTTAGAAGAAATAGGGTAATTCTAAAAATACTTGTAGTTTCATAATAAGGTAGAAAACTTCTATTATAATATTCATCAAAGCAAAAATACAAGCCAAAGAAAGAAGCACATTTACAAAACCCTCAAACAGGTAATCTTAGGAAATCGTCAAACTCTATTTCATAGATTTCATTAACTTCCATTGACCTACTCACCTTAGACCCATGTAATAAGAAATATGCATTTACACCACAAAGGTAGAACAGTTTATAGGCATAAACACTTCATAGCTTTATACTGGGAAATCCCTCAAGAGCAGTTAAGAACCACAAAGGAACAGTAGACAGTAGACAAATAAGCCTTATCATGGCTGTACTGGTACAGGCATGACAGGAGGCTGTGCAAAGCAGAATGTGCATCGTGTCCCAAAAACCAGTTACTCTAGTGATGCATGCCAGAGAAGCAGTCCAGGAAAAAGTACATAAATACACAAATGTCTTTTTTTGCTATGATTGTTTTATTTTCTATTTTAAATTATGATTCTATGTCCATTTTTAAAAATTTGAGTGATTTTGAAGGTATGTATTTTTTGAAAGATTCATTTTATGTATTTTGAAAGCTAGAGTTTGTGAAAGCTGGAGACAAAGATCGATGAATAAAGAAGTCTCTCTCCATACAGAACCAGAAACTTTCTTTAGTTTTTCCGCATGGTTTAAAGGGACCAGGGACCGAGACCATGTGCTGCTGATTTCTTAAGCACATTATCAAGTTAGAAGAAATAGCCAGGACTTCAACACATATCCATATGCGGATGATAGCATCTAGGTAGCCTACTTTGCCACAACACCAGCCCTTAATGTACAACTACTATGTAACACCTTTTGTGTAAGTATTGTATCCGAAACCTTCTAATGCATTATCAATTTTTCTACCTGATAAGCAGGGTTGTGTAACCACTAATAAATACCTAAAAACAAACCAAGAAGATGACATAAACATTGGGCCACCGTTAATGGAGAAGGTGATCAGGAAATGGCAAACACATAAGGGTCTCAGGACAGTGCACTTACCGACACGTAGGCATTTAGGAGGAGGGGACCAGCCATCCTCTGTACATGTAATGTTGGTCTGCCCATTTGGAAGACTATATCCTCGATGACAGTCAACATTTACAGATTGATTCTGCCAATATGTTCTTTCCCAAGGTGAATATTTCCCATTTTCCACAAAATATAAAGTGCATTTTCCTGAGAATTAAAATATTTTAAATTAAGAATATTAATTTGGTCAAAGTCATAAGTTAAAATGGCATAATTAGATTCAAATTAGAAAGCATATGTATTCAAAAGTACAGTGTGATAAATAAAAACTATGGTACTACCAATTATTTGTTGAGAAAAAAATCAATATTCCATGTGATATGTCAATTGTTTTTAAATTACATTAAACATAAAAGAAATTCTTGCCAAAATCTTTGTCATTTTTATAAAAAGTTTTATATAATAGAAAAACTGTTAAGAATACTTCCTTTGTTTCATTTTTTATATTCATCAATCTAATTATTTAAATGAGAGCTTAGAGAGAGAAAGAGGAGGCAGAGAGACACAAATAGCATGCTGATTTATCTACGGGTTCACTCTTCAAATACAGGCAAGCACTGCGGATGGTCTAGAATGAAGTCAGGAGCTGGAAACACAACGCAGATCTGCTGCGTGGGTGATATGAAGCCAGTTACTTGAGCCATTCACCCCTGTACCCAGAGATGCACATAAACAGGAAGCTGGAACTGTGAACAGAACCAGGACTCCAGGTAGACACTCTGAATCAGGAAGCAGGTGACCCACTGGCATTAGGCAAAAGTTCACCCAGCTGTAATCACATATGTGCTCTTCTTTCTGCACTCTGTGCAGTATTCACACACACAGAACAGGTAAGACATGTACTTACTGAGGCATGGCACTTGTGGTATCCATCCATCTTTGGTGCAATAAAGGTAATCCCAGTATGAATTTGAAGCAGTCATAAAGTTGTTGTCACAGTAATAGCTATAACGCTGTCCTATGGATACTGGGAAGTATGGTTTATATCTGTCTTCATAATATAGACGACCATGATTTATTTGTGGAAAATCACAAGGTTTCACTTGCAATGAGAAACACAAAGACAGCAGATATTAGCTTTTACCTTATGGAACAATCATAACAGAGATGAATCTGTTGATCAACCTGTTATATTCTCTTACTAGCACAATTACATCCACATGTATTAAGGTTTCTAGGACCAGCCAGGTCACAGAATTCAGATGCCTGAGGCATGTGAAGGGTCTCTGCTAGTGAATGTATAACTGTATCTATTGATCACAAGACAGGGAAACTAGCAAGAATTTTCAGAACAAATTGGTACAGAAAAATGCACTACCTGTGACTTAGACAATCTCCGTCTCCAGTCCCTGGCGCCAGCACACAGGCCCTCCCTTCTCCTTCCCCCTCTCTCTTCCCTTCCTTCCTCCTGGTTCTGGCTCTCCCCTGTCCTCCTCCATCTTGTCCCTTTCCCTGCTCTGGCAGCCCCCATCCTGTCACAATGGCAGGAGATGTGTCCCTTGCAGTTCTCTCCCCCTCCGCCCCTGCTCCTGTTGCTACCCTGCTGTGATAAAGGGCCTACTAAACAACAACAACAACAACAAATCAGCGGCATTTTTATATGCCCAATTATGCTTTGGTTGACTTGCAAGATCAGCCTGATTTGTAACAGTTACCAAAAAACTGATACGCCTGGGGTAATTTAAACAAGGATGTCTACAATGAAAGTTACATGAAATCAAGAAAAAAATTAGAAGAATACATACTAACAGACAGAGACACAAAGAGAAATATCTTTCACATTAAGGGATTGGTAAAATTAATGTCGTTAAAACACCCATATTTCTTGCAGCATTTTACACATTCATTTGGATCACAATCAAAATGCTGAGGACATTCTTCACAAAGCTAGAAAAAGAAATCTAAAAATCATATAAAATACAAAAGACTCCAAATAGGCTATCAAACTTAAATCATAAAAACAAAGTAGGAGGTTCCGGCGCAATGGTGCAGTAGTTAAGGTCCTCGCCTTGCACACCCGGGGTTCCCATATGGGCGCTGGTTCTATCCCCGGCAGCCCCGCTTCCCTTCCAGCTCCCTGCCTGTGGCCTGGGAAAACAGTCGAGGACGGCCCAAAGATTTGGGACCCTGCACCCGCGTGGGAGACCCGGAAGAGGCTCCTGGCTTCGGATCAGCATAGTATCGGCCCGTTGCGCTCACTTGGGGAGTGAATCATCAGATGGAAGATCTTCCTCTCGGTCTCTTCTCCACTCTGTATATCTGACTTTGTAATAAAAATAAATAAATCTTTAAAAAAAAAAAGCAGAGGTTTAGGGACTGGTGTTGTTACATACAGGTAAAGCTGTGCCTTCAGCACCAGCATGCACTATTGGTGCCTGTTTGAGTCCTGGCTGCTCTGTGATCCAGCTCCCTATTAGTGCAACCGGCAGGAGAGTGGAAGCAATTCCAAGTGCTTGAGCTCCTTGCACTCTCAACTGTGAGATGTGGGGGAAGTTCCTGGCTTCCTATCCAGTGCAGCCCAGCTCTGACAGTTGTAGCAATTTGAAGAGTGAAGTAGAGAAAGATCTTTCTCATGCTCTGTTAGTCTCTCTCTCTTTTTCTCTCTCTCTCTCTTTCTCTGTCATTCAAATACATAGATAAATATTAATTAAGAGGGGGAAAGATGGCTGAACAGGGTATGCAAGTGTAGCTGAGCGAGCAGAGAGAACTCGCAGACGAAATTGGGTTGAATCAAGAGTTAAAGAAAGAAAGTCCCTGGGCTGGGTGAACGAAGCTCCCTGGGGACCAACTGAGGGAAAAAAGAAACACAAGGAGAAATTACTGAAAACATCTGAAGTTGCAGCCAGCCACCCAAGAGGAAGGTGAACACAGGATAGCAACAGAAAAGCATCTCCACAGACAGACAAAATCTGAGTGAATTCGAAATTGATATCAAGAGAACAGGAACAGGCAGACTCCTGGTGGGAACAGGCACCTTCTGCATGAGACAGTGGCAAGCGAAAAGCCACAAGACAAAACACCGCTGAAGGGAGGCACTGCTATGAAGCCCACGGGCCCCTAACTGATCAATCCCCAGGACAGGGTGGGCAAGGCATTGTGGAATGAGCCTCTAGAGAGAGAGCAGCTGTGGAGTGATCCAGGCTGAGGGACCAACTCAAGATCAGAGGGCACCCCACAGCTGGAGGTGTGCCCTAGAACCCCAGAGAGATACCAGAACCACCCAAAAGGGAGACTCTGGATCCCTGTGGGGCAGAACGTAGATTGGGAGCAGCTAAACACATTGCAGTATGTGCCACAGTGAAATCCCAGGGAGCTCAAAACAATGCACATAATTGTGTTATTCATTTTGTTTATATATAAAATATGAATAAATGAAATATGAAGAAATGGATATATTATCATAAATCTAATTAAACATTTTGACAGGTTGATATTTTCATCCTTAGGAATGCTTACTTTTGAAAAAAGGCCTCACTGAGCATGAGAGTGTAGCCTTAAGATCTTCCCTGTGTATATGGCCGGAATTTCTATTTTTATTAATACTTCATTTTGTTTCATTTTATTTTAATATATCAATCGGTGTGAGGAGTGATTCGAACATCCCACCTTGGACCCTGTGCCCTTTCTTGCTTCCCCTTCCCCACAGCTTGTGAAACTCACCCAGTTCTGCTTATCCACCAATCAGACGTAAGCTGGCGCCTTACCTGAGAATCCGGCTCCCCAGTCTCTCCCAGTGCCTCCCCCAGCCCCTTCCCACCACCCTGCGGCTCAGGTAACCTCAGTCACTGGTCCTTGGGGCACACAGCTCACACAGCCCCGCCCTTTCCTTCCCTCTCTCTTTCCACTCTTCTCCTGGCTCTCTGTGGCCTCCTCTACCCTGTACCTTATGGTTGGTTACTCTTGTGCTGCCAGTCCCCATCCTGCCACCATGGTAGGAGACATGTCCCTTCTTCTTTCCCTCCCATCTGTCCATGTCCCTGATCCTACCCCATTGGGAAAAAGGACCTCCTAATATCACACCGTGTCTGGGATTTGGGCTAGTGGTAAACTAATCATGAAAAGAGAACTTGGCTGCTGGAATTAGCTGCGTGTAGCAACATTAAGAACTGTAACAACTTTAAGTGTATTTTAGAACCTAACAATTGGATTATGTAATAGTGAGTAAGTACTTTGGTCAACATGTTTTACAATTACAAATGTCTGTGTTTATAATTGCATTAAAGTGTGGCTTAAAGTAAACAAATTAGAATAAAGTTATCCTGTGATGTTAGAATTTGGTTGGTCATTATTATGTTAATCTTGATTGTTTTAGATCTCTAAAACTATCACATAGGAAATCAGCCAATTAAGTCCCCAGCTAGAGATGATATTATTTTATAGTTCAGTCAAAAGACACCAAATGAAGATTACAGCAGCAACAACAAAGAAAGCATCATAACTTGTTTGAACAGAATGCCTGACACCCTTCTTATTTATTTATTTATTTATTTTTTAATTACACTGCATTATGTGACACAGTTTCATAGGCTCTGTGATTCCCCCAACCCCTTCCCGAGCCCTCCCCCCATGATGGATTCCTCCACCTTGTTAGAGTATTACAGTTCGAATTCAGTCAAGACTCTTTCTTTGCATACCTATACCAAGCATAGAGTCCAGCATCTTATTGTCCAGATAGATTCAACGGTTTCTTGGGGAGACCATCTCTGGTCTGAAAGCAGAGCTGGCAGAATATCATCCTGATCAATTAAAAGCCCCAACATAACATCGACAACAATTTACAACATTATGGAATTAATTCTCATGGTACTGATGGTACCATGGTACTCATGGTAACCAATATGCTAAAAAATGCAAGCTCTTAACCACATCCTGTGACTACTTCATTGACGTTTGAATCTTAGTTTATACACAGAACTAGCTGCTATACACATTAAAATGGCTATAGAGTACTATTCAGCTGTCTCATGTCTATCCTCATTTTAGTATTTAGCAGTTTATAGTGTTGAAGCATAATTTTGCTGAACTTGGCAGATTTTAGGATAAACTAAACTGGCTTATAACTCTAACAAGGCATATGTCAACAATTGAAGTGCGGAACAGTTTCAGGAGGGGTGTGCAGAGAAATCCTCAATACCCCAGTGAGGAGTAACTAATCTGTGTCCTACCTAGTAAGGTATGTGTGAGTCCACGCTGACTGTTTCCTGTCTGATTCTAAGCTTTCCTTGTTGTCTATCTATTCTAATTGTTTGCTTGCTTGTTTTTTGGAGGGACTCCAGAGCAACCCTGATGGTCATTGCAAGAGAGTGTGGGGATCCATAGTTGGAACTAAGTAAGGACCTGAGAAAGCTCTTCTCCGTAGTCTTGAAGGAAGTTTACTGTTCTTCTGTTTCCGCGGAATGCTCAGGGCACCCGGCTGTTGTTCCAATGACCTTGGATCCTGTGAGGAAGGATTTGGGCTTCTTCCATCCCATGTGGTAGAGTCAAGCAGGAGTGGGTGACTTCGGAGTGCCCCTGAAGGCACTCCTATTCACCATGGTCTCCTTGGCAGGTGGGATGTAGTCCTTGGTGCCCATACTGAGTGTCCTTGGTGAGGATCTGAGAGTCTTCAGGGTTGGATACAAGCCTCCTCCTGTCCACCTGCTCCACTCAGGGGTTCCCCCCCTGCCTCTTCTGTGCATATGACCTCCTGTTATGAGGTTGTCAGGATCGCTCTTGATTCCCCCATATGACTTTGTAGTTTTACTATTGTCTAATGCTGATTTGAATCTATTTTCTAGGAGTTACCTGTTGTGTTCCTGATAGGTCATACTTCATGAGTTCCTCACAACTTCTAAGGAGATGGAAGAATTCTCTGCTCTCCTGCCCAATTTCCGAGTAGCTTAGGGTCTTAAAAGTATATTAGATTTTACAACTCTTTGATGTAGATCATAAGCAGATTGACTCACATTGATAACACACCTTTCTTGAAAAAAAAAAAAGTCCATGTCGGTGCTATAGTTTAGCTGGTTAAGCCGCCACCTCGGATGCATGCAACCAGTATGGGTGCCAGTTGGAGACTGGGCTGCTCCACTTCCAATCTCTGCTAATATACCTGAAAACAGTAGTTGAAGATGGCACAAGTGACCAGGAACCAGAAGTTTCTTTCTGCCTCCTGTGAATGTACAGGGTCCCAAGGCTTTGGGCCGTCTTCTACTGCTTTCCAGGCACAAAGAAGGGATTTGGGCAGAAGTGGTACAGCTGGGACACAAATCAACATCTACATGGGATGCAAGGAATGCTTGAAGGGGAGCATTAGCAATCTGAGTCATTGTGCTGGGTATTGCATCATTTTATTTACAAGGTTTTTGTTCTTGAGTGACACCTAAATCTTTATGTTACATCTGACGTTATAATGGTACTTAAAATATTAAATACACAAAATTTGAAAGTGAAATCTTTTGCAAACATCTTATATGTGTCTAAATGTTTTGAGATGGTATTTTTCTCAGTTCAGAGACATTTCAGGGCTAGGCAAAATTACAGTCTGTCTGTGCCTTAACAAATTGAAATTTGATATATGTAGATTTTCATAATTTAATTCCTCTCCAAATCACATATGGTGTGTCTTTCATTGATTTTCACCATTTTTCCATTTTGTTTTCTTCCTACTAAATGTGCATTGAAAGCATTATCATACAGCTGAGTTATATTATGAACCTTCATTCAGACATTCTCATCCAGTTATTTCTACACAAACACACACACACACCCCAATCATGCTCCCCTATCAATACATTTGAAAATGAAGCTGCTTTCAACTCACCTTGTCCAATGACAGCAGGAACACCTAACATGAGCATGACATTGATTAAGGTGAACATGTTGGAAAATCCAGTCATATAAAACTTAAATTCTCTTGCAGGAGTGGGTTGGTGTTGCTTGGAATCCTACTTTCATTAGCAGATGGACCCAAGTTTTGAATGTCAGTGTCCTACCAGGAAACTGGCTAGATGAAGTAATTTTGGTAAATATCAAAGTTCACGGAGTTTACGGGAAATAACAAGAGATTGTCCAATCAATGCCTTTTCATGAATACCTTGGATACATTCTTGATATTTGCTTGATCAAATGATAGCTGCTCAATTTCCATGTTGTGGTCGGTGTCCCTGCATTTGGAGTACACAAGGCTGGATCCCATTGATCTGGGAGAGACCCATGACCTTCTCCCTCACATGGAAGCCAGAGGTTTGAAAAAGGTCCCAGGAGCTGATACCAGTTCTCATTATATTTCAATAGCATCAATGTTCTACTAATGAATTCCTTTTAAAAAGATTCACTAAGTGTTAGATTCTGCCTTTACAGTTTTCACATTTTGTAGATTTAAAAAATTTGTTAAAAATTAACTTTGGCCAAATATACTTTCTGGAATTTCGGAACAAATTGGATTTCAAAATCAGTTTGCTCAAATGAGTCTTTAATAATGGCAGTGTGAAGGAATTGCTATCTATCTTTTCTTCCTCCAAAATGAAGCAATAATAACTGGATATATTCTCTAGAAATAGAGTCTCTAGAAATGGGTTAGAGGGCATGCTGTTGAGGAGCAGTCCTTCTAGAATGTCTCTGTGAGTCTTCTTGATGGAGAGTGGTAGTTCTCATCAACCACCACCAGCCACTCCAGTTCCTTGGCTCAGAAGTCATGCCCCAAGCAGAGAGGCAGGACACATGGACTGACACCTCTGTGGCTGAGAGCTGTGTGTGTGTGTGTGTGTGTGCTTAGAGTCTTTGAAAGGCCATGCCTTAATGCACTGTTGAATAAGAGAAGATTAGGGTGGGAAGTGCCTTAGTGAAAACTGTTATCTCAAAGTTCTAGTTGGGCAAGCAGCAAAGAAGTTGGCCAGTCAGAATTTCAATAGGGAATTTGGGAGTAGGAGACACCAAGAAAAGGGCCCTTTGAAATGACACTGACTAACTGGGATCCAGAAGCTTATGGTCATGCAGCAGGCTGTGTTCAGATAGACAAACCGGGGAACCCTGTGAGCAGCTAGTCCTTTAGTAAAGTAGGGATGGGAATGTCAGTCTTAGGTGAAAGGCATCTCTCCAGTCACTTGCAGACAATGGTCAAACATAAGAATCTCATTGGCTCAACCACTGGGCAATGATGGGTTGACTACTAAGCTATGCTGACTGAGAAATTGCTGTTAGGAAATCCAAATATGAAACACACACAAGAAACAAAAACTGAGCAATGGCCTCAGATCTCATGTCCTTTGAAGAAAGAATCTACAAATTGGCCTACGCAAGTCACAAACAAGCAAAATTGTGCAATACCATGAAGCCCTTGATTGGGAGGACTCATGAGTCAGAATTGCTGCAATGTGCAATCTAAGATTTCTAACATTTTCTATTCAACAGAAAATTGTGTTTTAACATGAATGTTATGAGAGAAGGAAAGAGGTGTGAATGACTCCACACAGTAGAAAGGAGTCATAAATGGGCAATAAAACTTGGTTGTGAGATGAGGCAAGTTTAGGAATAAAAACATAAAGGTGTCATAACAGTATAAATGTGATTGGGGTGTGGAAAAGTGCAGCACATGAACAATTATAACTTTGTAAAGTCACAAATATTGCTTATCTAGAATTAACCATCCATCATTTTATGTGCATATATGCATATATACATGCATATTTCACAACATGTTGCATATGATAAATACACACAGTCTGACCTTTCTGAAACTAAAATTCAGAGGACTGCCACAACAATGGTGAAGGTATATAATTCAAATATGTGATAACTGAGCAGTCTAAAAAACAAATAAATGGAATATACAAAAATTATAGATACTAAATAAGTTTTTCTGTAGGCAGTAAGATTTAAATCATATTCAAAAGAGGAAACATGCTGTAGAGAAGTGTGAAGCCCTCGGAGAACGTGCTGGATTGGGCTTCCAAAGTAGAAGTCTCCATATACACAGGAGACAGTCAGGAAATAACAAGTTGAAGCTTTCACAAGCATTGGAAAGTAAATTCAAGTAAGCAAGTTTGTGTAAAGCATAAATTTGAAAATCAGAGCAAGTCTTCAGTTGCTGTGTATGTGTCCAAACCCAACATTGGAGTATCAGGATTCAATTCCCAGGTTTGGTTTTCAACTCCATTTTCCACCTTTTCAGATCATGGGAGACAGCATGGATGACTCATTAATAGAATTTCTGCCAGTCATGTGGGTGACCTTGACTCAGTTCCCGCATCTGACCTTCACCCTGGCATAGACTCAAAAACTGTGGGCATTTGAGAAATAGACCAGACAATGAAAATCCTCTCTCCCTGTTTCTCCCGCTGTTTCTTTTCAAACAGCAAAGTAAAAAATATTACCGGAGAAAAGAACTGTTAGTAGACATCCATTTTGTGTTCAACCATGTGTGTTCTCACAAGTTTATTGAAAGCATTTTTCTGGTTCACAGTGTCCTACCTAGACCCATTATTCCAAACTCTCTCAGAACTTCTCATTGGATATTGGCTAGCGGAGTAAAATGTTGCTTCTTGGATTCATTCATTTGGGATAATCTTATATACTTGTATTGACATAAATTACACATCAACAAATTTGTGAAATTTCTACTCATAAATTATTAACTTCCATTAATTAATTAATTAAAGTGATTTAAATCAGCTTTGTAAGTTTTGTTATCCAAAATGCTAATATTAATCATTAGATATTAACTTGTGCAATGATATGTTAATTATTGATAAGCTTGAGTTATATTAATGTGATCATTCTGCTATGAGTTTTAAGATGCATGATTACTCCTCAATTTTACAATGTAAATGGTATACCACAAACCTTCACAGCTTTTGGTAGCTTCTATTAGAAGCTTCAGGATTCATAGATGAACTGTCTTTAATATTTTTAACTAAACAGAATATGTTCATTGATAATAGATGGGGAGTATTTTTTACTTTCCTAAACAAGAAGATCCATTTTGAGTTGCTGAGAACAACTCAACACACAAATGAAAGATTTAAATGAAGCACTTAAAAAACAGCTTACTTAAAAAAAAATGTGAGTTCTCCAATTGTTAATTAGCCTAATTCATTTATGTAATCATGGTGCTTTAAGATTGTCAGGCTCTTTTCCTAAGATACAACATACATGGCACAGTTGGCAAAAATAGCCCAAAGCCCTGCATGCTGTAGGTATGAGAGGGTGTTCACAATCCTAGTGATAATTTTAGATTTGCCTAATTTCTCTGGTCACTTTGATCAGGTTTTGCTTGAAACAAATTAAACCTTTGTTGTAGCTCAAGATACACATAGAATTGCCATGTCTTCTTGTGGAGTTTGTGACATTATTTGGTAATGTTGACCTTTTTTGGTTTGTAAAATCTATTTTGTTTGATATTAATACACGCATTCCACATTGCCTCTGATTATTCTTTCAATGTCATAACTTTTTCACTTTAATTTACCTTAATACTCATACAGGCATTGTTAGATTGTTGACCACCCATGTATGAAAAACATGAGCCTGTTGTAAAAAATGTAAAGAGGCTTTTATTTGAGTTTCCCTCTCGGGCTCCCTTCTCAGTCAGCAAGGAAAGAGAGAGACAGCTGTGGAGAAAAACGTTAAGCAGGGGAGTGTGTGAGTTTTATGCCCCTCCTGACACAGAGGCTGGCATACGTCGGGAATGTGCACCTACGTCTATCATTGGCCAGCTAGCCCAGTGATGTGCCTGACCCCAGCAGCCCTTTCTGGTTCTGGGCTTGGGTTTGAGTGATTGACCGGCATTGAGTCAGCCCAGTCTATTTCCTCTACCTGCAGTAGCTATCAGGTATATGAGTGAATTGTATAGTCACATAAGTATTTAGAGTGAATTTCTTATAGCTAGCTGATATTTAAATCATTAAAAATTCATTTACAGCAAACATCTGAAACAGCAGTTCAGGTATTGGTTTCTAGATTGCATCCCACATGGGAGTAGTTAAGTTCAAATTCCAGCTCTATTTCTCATTTCAGTACTGAGTTGTTTTTTTTTAAAGATTTATTTTTATTATTTTTCTATTGGAAAGGCGGATATACAGAGAGGAGAGACAGAGAGGAAGATCTTCCGTCCCATGATTCAATCCCCAAGTGAGCGCAATGGCCTATGCTATGCCAATCCGAAGCCAGGAGCCTCTTCCGGGTCTCCCACGCGGGTGCAGGGTCCCAAAGCTTTGGGCCGTCCTCGACTGCTTTCCCGGGCCACGGGCAGGGAGCTGGAAGGGAAGCGGGGCCACCGGGATAGAACCGGCGCCCATATGAGATCCCGGGCGTGCAAGGCCAGGACCTTTAACCACTTGCGCCACCGCGCCGGGCCCAGTACTGAGTTTTAATAATTGGATCTCTGCCATTCAAATGGAACAGACAGACTGAGTTCCTGGATCCTGGCTTTGGAAGGACCCAGTCCTTGATGTTCTAGGCATTTGAAGCTTATGAAGCAGCAGATGGGAGAGGTCTCTCTGTAGATCCTTTGCTCTCTGGTAACTCTCTCTCTGCCTTTCACAAGAAAATGCATGACAAATGGAAAAACATAAATTTTGAAATTTCTATGTTTTAGTCTCTATACAGAACATAAACATTTCATGTAATAATTGATATGATTTCTGTCACACTTGTTGAAATAATGTAAAATTCAAGAAAATTCATTCTTTCAATGTTCATTTAATCACATGGCTCTGAACTTACCAGAGTTTTGTTCCCTTTTTTTCATTGCTAAAAATCTCTTTACCTTCCACTTGCTCACATTTTGAAAGCTCCTTCCTTCAGAAACGCATTCAGTGATGTGCAGCCAATATTCATTCAGACCATAATCAGCAGGCCTTAAAAGTTCATGAAAAGGGCC